TTTTTTCCGCCGCCTTGCCAGCTTTTTTTTTTTTTTTTTTTTTTTTTTTTTTTTTTTTTTGATTCAAGGACTAATTATTACTGTCTTTATTTCCCGTCGCTACGCCACGTGAGTCGGACAAAAGGAGAAAAGAAGTGATTCAGCTGTAGAAGGACATGATATAATTTGAAAAACCTGAATTACTTCCCTGTTGTTAGACTGAATGAGGTTTGGGATTTTGTTTTTATTAAATTGGGTTTGTTTTGGTCCCTGTTTTCAACACATCCCCAATCCAAAGACCTTTTAGTAGGACTTTTTATGTGTTTTTTTTTTTTTGTTTTAACGAAACCTAAACGGCCTTGTTGATGGTATGGTGTCTGTTTGTCGTGGTGCTTTTCAGATTCTGAAATTTGGTGTGGAAATGTCTAGTTCCCAGTACAGGTCTGGTGTAAATCTACCTCATGCTTCTAGGTCATTGGTGCTGTCCATCCTAGAAAAGAGACATTAAAGGGTAAAAGTTGTAAGAATGATTGATTATTTAAAAAAAATACACTAAGAATAGAGTAGATATCAACAACATGTTATCCAGTATCTTAATTTGCAGGATCTTCATAGCTTGACCAACCTTGTTTTTTTTTCCCCCATCTTATTTTGGTTAGTGTTTGTGTTTGGGTTTCAATTCTTTTTTTTTTTGATTCTGAAGAGTTTTTCTTTGTCACTCAATGTCATTTCTTTTGTCTCTGGCGATTAGGAAAAAAAAAAAAAAAATCTTCACTGTGCCTTTATTTATGTTTGTGTATCCAGGAGGACATGAACCTCAATGAAGACCGTAAGGCTCCTCTGCGTGGAAAAGACCTGAGCACTAAACGAGAGATGGTGGTCCAGTACATCTCGGCCACGGCTAAATCTGTGAGTGAAGTTATGTTTTTTTTGAGTTTAATGTTTTCAGTTGTTGGGCAGGTTGTCGTCGATGACGTATCATTTAACTCATCTCCAACTTTTTTTATACTCCCCTTCATCCCTCGCTGATGTCATTCCTTATTTCACCCTCACGTGTTCATGCTTGAATCACGAAACTTTGATTTATTTTCAGTATTTGTTTATTTTTCAATCTTTTGACTCAAACAAAGGGGCCTCCAAAAACCAATCTCTCCCTTCTTTCTAGGTGGATGGTCAGCACTTTGCATGAAAACTGTGTTGTGCGGTTGTTTATCTGCGCACGTTGTTTGCCCGCTGGTAGCGGTTTGTCTGTCTGTCTTGTTGTTCGTCGGGTGTGAGGAGCACGACAACGAGACAATGATTTCAGGCAGTTTTCTGTCTAGACACACACACAGTTTTAATTTGCTTACATCAAAGTTTAATTTGCTTACATCACATTTTAGGGGGCCTCGATCCCAGCAGTCATTCGACGAAGGTGGGATGCACACAATCGCAATCATACCTGTCAATTTAGAGTGAACTATAAAATCAAATTCAAATCCGTGTGTTGAAATCAGAGTTCATATAGAAACACAGAATATGCAAAGTCCATACAGAAAGGCTGGGATCTATAAAGCGAACCTGTGATCTCTGATCACATCTGCAAACATAAGACTGCGTCAAAAAAATTTTTTTTTCTTTTTTTTTTCTTCGAAGCTGTACGCGACCCAGAGACATTTATTTAAAAAGTTAAACAAAAATACTAAATTACTGTGCAAATTAAGCAAACCTTCACCCATACTGTCGCTCAAACACGATCAAATATTTGCAAAAACTCAAAAATAAATCAAAGCTGAAGGCAACTGAAGCTGAAAATCAAAATTCGCTGGGGAAAATATTTCCTTAAATTTGCCAAATGCAAATGAGTATATTTCAAAAACATTTGAGTAATGACCTAAAAGTTTACCCAAAGCCTAAATGCTATATAAAATACATTGACATATACACATTAGGAAGCAAGAGATTCAGGGAAAAATAAAACTACAAAAGATAATAGTAGCTCAAAGATAACCCAAGGTTAGAGATGAGAAGAATGCAAAAATAATTATAGATATCCCTGTGATAAATAATTAAGAAATTTGATGGTTTAGGACGATGGGATTCAAACCTAAAATCTTCTGTTCGGCGGCTTAAATTCTTCCACTGCGCCGCTGTCGTTTTGATTTGACCGTAGAGTGCAACTATCTGATGAAATCTTATATCATTCTGCAAATCTTGTTAAAAAGAAGTCGCATGTTTCCAGTAGGAAAAGATGATGATAATAAAGCCCCAGTAATAAGTGTCCTGGCCGTGTGTAGAAGCTGCTACGGCTCTCCTGACATCATCATTTATGACTTTGCTCATTGTTATGGTAATTAACTGGCATTATTGATAATAATGATTATCCGAGGTGATTGAATTCCTCACGGGGCTCATCGTGCTTTTCGTGAGCGCTGATATTTTATTCAAATGAATAATAACGTAGAGAGAGAGAGAGAGACACTGTGTGTGTGTGTGTGATGGAAAAGATGGAGGAGGACAGAGTGTGATTTCTGTCAGTGCTATCATGCTTAATAGAACTGAAGAAGGCGAAAGAGAGAAGGAGGAGTGTGTTGAATGTCAGCGAGGATGTATCAGTGCACAGGTTCGGGCAGGTTCACACACTTCTACCCCAGAGCACCTGCGCATCACAGTTTTATATGAATACCCTGAAGGTGAATGAGCTGTAGGTCTGTTCGAAAGAGAAGGACATGAAGGCTTCACAGTCACAGACACAAGACACAAGACAAAATTCACCACAAAGCTGCAAATGGACCGGCGCTACCAATATTATGAAATGTAAAGTAGAACCTCAAGATATGAGCGTAATCCATTCCATGACTGGAGGTGCTCGTATCTCGAATCATTTTTTTTCCCATAAGAAATAACAGAAAAATGAATCCGTTCCGGTCCTGTAAAAAAACTCCCTTATTAGTGCTAATAACAATGGAAAAACATGTTTTAATTGCTATAGAGACACAAAAAAAAATCAATCATGAGTTCTTACCTTCGAGACAGACGATACAGTAACGGCTAATAAGTTGGCCCGTACGAAGACACTTGATTCCGTATCGTACCTTACACGTACACTATGTGACTTACATAAACTTTAAAATTAACTTAACTTACGTGTTTCTTTTTTTTTTTTCAGATTTTTTTTTTTTTTTTTAATTATTTTTTTGGAAAACCCGGTCATTTATCGACAATTTAATTCTTTATTTTCATGGTCATCATGCGTTTCTTCTTCTCACTACCATCCTTACCACTCACTCTCTTAGGACTCATCACTATTATGAAGAATAACGCACACAAAATAAAGAGAAAATCACGTAGATAAAGCAAACACAATACGCAAGACTTGCGGGAGATGCGTACGGAAGTCGACGAACACGTGAAGCGCGGTGACGTGGACTGGTCCGAGTGCTTTTTACTCGTATCTCAAAGCAAAAAAAAAACCCAAAAAATCTCGAAATACTCGTTTGTCGAGAGGCTCATATCTCGAGGTTCCACTGTATGCCAAAAAAAAGAATCGGTAACATAACAAATTAAAACATCAGGTATCGCCCATCTCTACTGCTAAGAGTTTTTCGTTGACATTAGACAACAATGCTACATATTTAAAACAGCCATTCTAAAATGAACTACAGCCATTCATCAATTCTGTAGGTTACACATGTCCACAACAGTCTTTCTTAGTCAGGTTTTTTTTTTTTTTTTTTCGTTTTCTGCCTAATTTCTGATCAGTGTCTGGGACTCGTGCTACCTCCGGTGGATGTTGTGCATGTAACATCCACTAAAAGGTGCTGAACTGGAAATGGAAAAAATGCTAATTTTAATGTGATGGTGATTCATGGGGACGTCGTTGGAGCCTTTTTTGGATTTTATTTTTGTTCCTTTTTCTCACTGTGAATTTGAATCATTGTCTTTTTTTTCTCGGCAAATATTTCTCTGCAACAGTGTGGACGGGCGGGCGGGCGGGGGGGGGGGTTGGATGAAGGGTGTGTCTCCGTTTAGCTGTGT